GGTGGTGCATGCTACATAAGCTGGGTTCTCAAGTGGGAAATTTAACCTCCTACTTTATCTCTCGATCCAGCTTTCTACATGTAATTCGTCTGGAACTTAACATAACAGAGCTGAACAACTTAAACGAGGATGAAAAAGTTTTGCAGTGATCGGTACAGTGTAACAGCGGACAGTTAAAACGAAAAATTGTTGCTTAATGAAAAAAAAACAAAACAAGAAAACCATCTCTTTTTTGGCAGTACTTAGAAGGGTGTGATTTCACCAAAAATCAAATCAGAATAAGGTGAACGGGAAGACATTTTCCTCTTTTTTCTTACCTCGAGAAACTTTAACTAAATGTTCTTGTCCGAAAGCTTCCTTAGATGCCCAGTAGCCTCTCGGAAGATTACCCTCCCACCCTCCCCCGACCCCAAGTCTTACTTGTCACCACTCGAGTGGTGACAAGTAAGACTTGGGGTCCAAAAAAAAAAAAAACCAAGTACAGTAAACAATGTCGCTAGTAAAAAAAACCTTTTATTACAAAATATTTGCGGTTCTATTTACATTAAGCGTTATTTTTCACTCTGGTGATTAAAAATACTTCGTCTACCTGGTAAGTCTCTTTGACCCAAAATTAAGATTTGACTTGCAACTATTTATTTAGTTTAAATACAAAAATAAACTAAAAATTGATGAAACTATATAAGATTTAGAATACCCTCAAAAGACAGGTTTAAAGCTGGTCGGTGTCTCTGAGTTATAGCTTTGAGAATTTCGCAATATTCAGAACTAAGAGACGAAGTCAGATTTAGTGTGGTTAGCTTACAGCTTGGATGCTGTAAAGCTTCACATAGACTGGCAAAACTGGTATCAGTGATAGAACTACACCCCAGATTTAATGTGGTTAGCTTGCAGCTTGGATGCTGTAAAGCTTCACATAGACTGGCGACACCGGTATCAGCAATGTTATATTCCTGTAGAATTAGTGTGGTTAGCTTACAGTTTGGATGCTGTAAAGCTTCACATAGACTGGCAACACTGGTATCAGTGATAGAACTGCCCTGCAGATTTAGTGTGGTTAGCTTACAGCTTGGATGCTGTAAAGCTTCACATAGACTGGCCACACCGGTATCGGTGATCTTAGTGATCACTAGACTTAATTTGGTTAACTTCCTTACTACTAATCTATTAATAACATCAACACATTCATCAGTAGAGTAAATCTCGAATAATTCCAGTTCAGACACAAGACAGTGTTCATTGTTTAGTGAATTACAGACTCGTTGTATTCCAGACAGTGTTAGCTGTGATTCTCTAAGTTGTAACTTCTGAACTGTGACGAACTTATCAGAACATTTGTGTTGTGCCCCTCCAGCTTCCTCTTTATTTAGTTCACTCATAATGTCCAACACAAATGATACTCCAATGCAGTCCATATCTGATAAACCCATAAAAGCCATGACGCCATCTGAATTACAAAACGCTTGCGGATTATTCCTGATGAATTTTTTGGCAAATTCTTTGTTTTGATACTCAGTCAGACACGTCATTTTAAGATTACGATGCATAAAGGGCGAATTTAATAGTTTTTTCATCAGTTCTTCGTTTCCCTCACTTGATAACACGCCAGCAAAAAATTGGAAAACCATTTCAGAGCATTCTTCGTCTGGAACGCGATTTTCCTTAACAAACCAACGAGCAGCCAAGAATTCTTGGACGGTTAGATGTGTGAAGCTAAAGTGCTTCGTGGTTGTAATCAGTGCAGTCCTGAAAGGCTGACCACAGTAAAGAAGACCACTACCTTTCAGTTTGCTGACTTCTTCCGCTTCAAAATCGCCTTCCATCTCCCTTTCATCAAAAGTTGGCTTTCTTTCAACCAACAGTTTAGCCGCTAGTTCTGATAATTTATCTAAAGTGTTCTTGATGACAGGAGGGGCCTTGAATTGCTCAGGAATTTCTTTCTGTCTGTATTCTGACTCGGCGTAGTGCTTAAGTTCAAATATTTCAATAAGTTTGGTGTAAACGTCGGTTGTTGAGACAGGAAGGTCATCAGGATTTTCTGATTCGGTTAGGGTATACTCCATCTCAAAGCACAACAGATAACAGAGCATAGGAATATGAGCAAAACTCACAAGGTTCTCATTGTTCATGACATGTTTAAAAACAGCGTTCTTCATATTTTCGTTTTTCTCGAAGTATTTCTCAACGTATTCTTTGACTTGTTCCGACGAAAATCCTGCAATTTCCACATATCGTTTAAAACGGATTCCTCCCATCTCGTCCGATTCATCAGGACGCGAGGTAATCATGACGATAGCCCCTTTCAAGATTTTTCCATTGATGAGTTTTGAACACAATGCGGCCACCGGCATTTTACATCTAGCGTTATTGGGATGCCGTCCTTCCGAGTTTCCAGCGATGTTGGTTTTCTGAGAATACTCATCATAGCCGTCGAGAATTATCATTACTTCCCTGGGATGATTTACAATGTACTCAAATGTTGAGTCATCAATGTTACATGTGTCATCCAGTACCGAAGAACAATTTAAGATTTCTCTTAATGTCACATAGTTATTTTCAAGCAAATTCAATTGACGGAAAGTGAGCAAATACACAAACTTTAAATTGGGAAATTCACTGCTTTCTAGTGCTTGAAGTAATTTGTTGTTCGCCCAATCGCGAATCACCTTTTGGCAAAACAGGGATTTCCCAATCCCTGCTTTTCCAACGACAAGAATAGAATTAGCACTCTCCTGATCATCAATCACGCCTAGAAATATTTCACTAGAGTGCTTGACTGGGGTACCGCTAACTTTTCCGTAGTACTCAAGCACTTTTCTCCTTGAATAACATGTCTCGTCATTCTTGATCAGGGCTTTTCTTCCATGTTGCATGAGAAGATTAATGAATATTTCGTCTGTTTTCGCGTTGGTAATCGTGCGAGAGGCAAGCAGTTTGGGTTGGAACTCCGTTTGGCCTATGATGGAAGTCTTTAAAGCTGAAGTGTAGGCACTTACGGCTAAAATAAAAAAAGAAACATATTTAATAAATAACATGACCGCGAGGATAGCAGTCTATTGGTACTTTCACTAATGATCCACAGGGTTTAACTGTTTTGAGGGCAGGTCAATAAACACACAGGCTTTGAAGAAAAAGATCTTAGGCTACATTGGTCTTACTCTTATTGATAAAAAAAAGTATAACAAACTAAAGGCACATTAGTACCACACATATTTCTAAGAAGCTTAGTCTTGCATGTAAATTTCAAAGCCTAGTGTCTGACAGAGAATCAATTCCAGGATTGGATATCAGAGCCCCAACTCACGGACCCTATAATGGTTAAAAATCGGCGGTGGTTTGGGGAGGAAGGCCCCCCTCCGAGAGATCCTGGCCCCACCCCCATCAGATCCACTTGTCTGACACGCAAATTCTCGAAACAACAGGATCACATAATACTATCCTAAAATAACCAATGGTAAAACTTAGGGTAGTCCGGTCAGAAGCCTAAAAGTAGACTATCCTGCTATCAGTAAGATCTCTGAATTGAAATATCTTCTGATTACAATATATCAAAAGTATCTATGAAAATGTTTAAAATATACAAAAAAATTAATAGGAAAAAAAGACAATTAAGATAATTCACGTGAACAAAAATTATTATAAACAGAACAGCTATAATAACAAAAGATCTCTCAGCAACTTGCGTCCTTATCGCAGGCAGGTGTATTTGATTACTCTGCCGCGTAGCGCGCCAGTGAACCCTATTTAGTATTATTAAAAGTAAAATAATTCATAAAATACTAAGGGGAGTGTCTTTTGAAACATTTTTTACATAACTAGATTTAAAGAGTGTTCATCACGCCTGCACGCAAATGTTGGCCGCTTAAGGGTTTCCATAGAAGCGTTATTCCTACCTCAAAAATTAAGTACATATGTTTAGTAAATAAAGCCTCTTGGTTGGCTAGTATGTCAGCTAATAATGTCCACGACTGAGAGATTGTCCTAAAAATGAATAATTGGCCTACAAGCGAAGCTTCCAAGCCACATGTAAAATCATAGGGAAAAAATTACAGCCAAGAACATTATCAGCCGACATACAAGCAAGCCAGAAAAGGGTTTATTTATTCTATAACCCTTCCGTTAATTCTTTAGATCGCAAGAGAAGAAGCCAGTGTTGATCTGATGGCGGATGTGTATGTGCAACAAGCTTTTAATATCACTGGATTCTAAAAAACGAGTTCGCTTTTCTTCTGTGCAACAAAATAGAGATGAAAAGATAGAGCTTTGGCGCAGAGTATTTTCTACTTCCTTTGTTGGAATAAGAACAGTCCATGGCTCTTAGAAAAAGATTTACTTAATCATGTGTCGAAACACGACGATTGTTGTGCCAATCGTTTCCAGTCCTATCTAGTTTAGGCCAAAGTCAAGCTAAAAAAACAGTTGCGCATCCGAATGCCCCAAGTAAGCTCGATTGGATGGGTGGAGGGGATGGGAGAGGGTAGATCGAGGAGTAATTTTTGACAACCCCCCTTCCTCAATCACAAATTTCTGAATCCCCTCCCTACACTTGCCTATAGAGTGCCCGCAACAGCAAAGTCATCCAAAAGGTAAATGTTCATTGCAGATCTCAAGTCGCACAGGAAGAATAGCACTCAGTGGCAAAGAATGCAAAAACGTCAGGAGGAAGAATGATTCTTGATCTGCAAGTTATTAACTAACCTCTCTGTGATAAAATCATTTATTCAGGGAAAGAACCGCAACATCAACAACGACAAAAAGTATATAATGACTTGGACAGAAATTAGAAGTTAGCATAGAATAAAGCAAATTTGGTTGCAATATGTGGATCAAAATACACAGACACGAAATTTTTAATTCCATACAATGATCATTGAATTGTTTGTTTCCAGAGGTATGCATTACCAAATAGTTGACTGGCAATCAATACCAACTACATAAAATTAAACATATTGGTATAATAAAAATAGGTTAATAAAACATTGATGATCTACTCTTTATCTTATCAATGACGTACGACTAAATCAATGGTGAAGATAATAAAAAATGTTTGGCAAATATTATTTTTATCTTATACGAGAGCTGCAGCATGAGTATTAAGGAGGGCCAGTAAAGCTATTAGAAGCATCCTTCGTTGCTTTTTTTTAACAAGTTCTACTTCTTGCTGAAAAGGGGTCAATGGAACATTTACAAGCAGCAGTTGCTGCTTTTATATTAATAGTAATAGTATTAGTTTTTTTAAAATTTGATTTTAAACAGTTCTACCAAAAGTAAAGCGAGAAGCCTTAATTAAAGGTACATACCACTCTTTGTCTTAAATGTTCTGACATCTGGCTCACTGTCTCCTTGTTCGTTGACAGCAAACAGTTTCACTTCGTACTCTGTGTCATACTCAAGACCAGTTATCGTGTAGCGAGTTTCAACAATATTTCCATGATGAAAGATTTCTGTGGATGCTGTCATGGGTTGTTTCCTCCATTCAACACGGTATTTAATGCTGCAATTACTGCTGTTAGCCTCAGATTCTGACCAGTTAACTATGAAATCCTTGTCAACTTCTATTTCTGTATTTGTGATGGTTGGTTTCTCAGGTAAACCTGTTCAAAATGATGCTTCTTTTAAACTTTGCCTCTAAAAACTGTGAAATATTTTTTGTTACTAAAACTAAACATATTGATATAATAAGAAAGGTTAATAAAACATTGATGAACAACTCTTATCAATGTAATTTACGACCGAATCAAAAATGACGATTGTAAAAAAATGTTGGGCAAATGATTATTTTTTCTCATATGAGAGCTGCAACATGAGTATTAAACCTATACATGTTGTCAGAAAGTTTCACAATCCTCCCCCCCTTACAAGCAGTATTACTCCTGTATTTGGGACCCGACAGTATTTCTCTTATTTCATTTCAAACAATTACACCAAAAGTAAAGTGAGAAGTCTTAAATAAAGGTACATACCACTCTTTGTCTTAAATCTTCTGACATCTGGCTCACTGTCTCCTTGTTCGTTGACAGCAAACAGTTTCACTTCATACTCTGTGTCATACTCAAGACCAGTGATCTTGAGGTGAGTTTCCACAATATTTCCTCGTTGAGCCATGTCTGTAGATCCTGTCACGGGTTGTTTCCTCCATTCCAGACGGTATTTAACGCTGCAATTACTGCGGTTGGCCTCAGCTTCTGACCAGGTAGCAATGAAATCCTTGTCAACTTCTGTTTCTGTATTTGTGATGGTTGGTTTCTCAGGTAAACCTGTTCAAAATGATGCTTCTTTTAAACTCTGTCTCTAATAATAAATGTCAATTTAATCACTTCAACAAATAATATGAATGTAACTGATGATGAGAGTTAAAACAGTCGTATATAAGTTCACTGTTAATCGTTAACTATTATTATCGTTATCATTATTATTATTATTATTACTATCATTATCACAGATATCACTATCGAAACAAACATTGTCTGTAGCACTATTATCATTCTCTATACAATGCATGTTCACAAATTTAATCTCAGAACACTTATTACCTTCTATATCAAGGAAATAAATAGTACTCAATCTTTACGACAAACTAGTTACCACCTGTCAGGTTGATAAGTTATGGACGTAATAACACAAAGTATTTCATTCATCAAAACATGTTGGACTTACCTTGAGAGGATAATTCATTGGCACCTAAATGAAATGATAAACAAAAAATTAATGTTGTCTCTTTAAAGCAATTTACCTGAGAAATTTATTTACAATCTGATTCATTCATCTCAAACTATATTATGTCAGATTCCAAAAAAGGGTAAAAAAACAACAACAACAAAGAAACAGAACCATAAAGATGTGTGCTGGCATTTATCACTTCCCTTTCCATTCCAATAGTTTTCACATCAAAATACAGACACACATGCAGTACTTGATGAATCTATTTTTTCAGTTTAAAACAATTTGATGTGTTGCTTATTGGCCCAGGAACATATATCAAATTTCAGTACTTCAAATCACTTTGGCAAATGTCATTAGCTACTGAATTTTCCATATTTTGGTTGTGTTTCATAAACCAAGCTAATTATAGAATACAGGTCAGTTCGCTTGGCTCATCGTTACATCATTTGATTTAAACACAAGTTTTTTCTCCCACCACCATAAGAGTCTTGTTAAACCTACAGGTATGTAAACTCAAAATAAGGGTAACTTAATTTCTAATCTGTGAACTATTACAGAAATTATAATTAACTCATCTTGATTTATAATCCATACAAGAATATGCTAAGGGAACTTAGATTTAAGTCAGACCTATCCTTGTAAAAAGAGAACATTGAGACAGGAAGCAATACCTGCATTAAAGTGAGGCCAATCTTGGAATATGACTGGATTGTTTAAAATGTGTGCCACAACAGATGCTGCCATCACACAGGCAATTTGTTTCCATTTCTTACTTGAAGACTGCGTTTCATCTGCAAAGTCTTTGATGCCCTTGACTACCACCCATTCTGTCTTAAAATCATGGGCTGCCGCATACACTCCTGGAAAAAAAAATCCATTAATGTCTGTTAGCTATGTATTAAGCTTATTTTCTTAGCATCCTTAATACTAATACTAATTTAACAAGATACTTTCTACATTTTTCAGATGACAAATTTAATACAATTCATGACATCCTGAAGGAGCACATTCATTGTAGTTATCCACAGTACATCTCAGTCACCTTCACATGCAAAAAATCTTCCTACCCCAGCCAAACACAAAATCACTATAAATACACACTATATAATTCCTGCAAATTTGGCATGCTATATAGTATATGCTATTTCTTGGACCAGCAGGGATAATACCAGAGCAGTGTTTTTCAAAACACTTCCTTTGAGTGAAAACATTCTTGACTCACCAATTATTTGAATTATTACAATTCTTACCTCCACCTTCCATTTCAACTGCAATTGCTTCAGGAAATTGGCAAATGTTATCTCTGTTGGCCTCTGAGATACTCAGAACCACTCCATCACCATGCACTTTGGCGTTATATTCATCTGCATTTTGTAAAGGTGCCTTCCACCCATCAGCAACATGTTTGATCAGGTTTCCAATATCTCTGCTGGGGGGAGTTTTGTGTGTGGCTGTTATCAGCTTTGCTGAAACAACTACATCTCCTAACTTGACCTTTTTGCTGTTCAAACCACTGCAGGCACCAACAGAAAATATAGCCTTAGGTCTCAGTAGCAAGATGGCATCTTTTGAAACAGACAAGGAACCCCCAGGAACATCAGGACCTTTGGAGCACCTCATCAATGCAATTTTCATCTTCTTTCCTTGATCATCACCCATGCACCCAAAGTACACAGGGCCAGTACGGATGTGGTAACTATTAAAGGGTTCCTTCAGGTAGGCAAAGCAGCTTAAGAACTCAC